TTGTCTAAATCGTTGGTCTGCTTATGATTGTAGAAAATATCAAATGCTTTGATCTGATGCTCCAGAGTATCCACTTTAGCCTCCAATTCGCTCTTTTGTCGCAACGCTTCCGACAACTCTTTGCTCATTGAATCCAATTTGTTAGACAACACACGCGACTCATCGCGACATTTATTCCGCTCGTCCCTCACTTTCCGCCACTTTTCTGGTTTACGCAACAGATTGTCATTACTTTCAATACAAAATCAAACCATTCATTCAAATACCTCTCCAATTGGCCAAACAGTCGCTCCAGAACTTCATTGTCTGAAACAAATTACATATAAAAAAGTTAATACGGGAACCAATTAATGTGATCAAGAGTTTGCAAACCTTCTCCATCTGCAACACACGAGCCTTTGTCTCAATCAGATCCTTGTCTTTCATATCTTGTCGGCTGTGATACAGAGGTTCGGCATAATTGCTGTCAATAGTGGCCATCAAACCGGCGCTCGAAGTCGTGTTGGTGTTTGTATCCGAAGACAATTGTGACAATCGTTTGTGTCGATTACCGGACATCATATTCGGGCCACTCGTCGGTCACTTTCAATCAGTTCCAGTCAATCAAACCTCAAACACAGTATGCAATCACTTATGATTGCAAAACCAATTATGCATTCATTTGAAGTCAAATGAAATGTCAATTAAATATTTGTTTTGGAAATGCATTAAATTTTTGGGGCGTTTTAATTGTGACCACAAAACTGATAGCAAATCAATCGCTCATATCATTCATCTATTCATTCATTAATTCACATAAAAACGTGACTTATTTTAAAAATCTAAACAAATATTAGATTTTAAATAAATAAATAAAAACAAAAATTTATTTTTCAAACGATAACATCAAATGTCAAAGCATTGAAACAAATGGCCATATCTTACGTTCACTTCATTCATAAGCAAATCAATGTATTTAACGCTTAATTTAACATTTAATTAGCGCTCAAAACATGGTTTGAATTTAATTATTAATTTCAAACCAAATTTAAGCGCTTTTAACACATCAAAAGTTAAAAGTTGTTTAAATTAGTTTTACTATAATTTATGAATGAATTTAAACATACGTTTTGACACTTCGTATAAACAAAGGCTCGCAAACAGTGTTACGTTTAAATGGCTTTTAAAGCACACCTTTTGTCACACATTAAAGGTCTTACGTATTGAATACCAGCAAAAGGGGGCACAAGTGATACCCCATTAACTCCTTTGGGTATAAATGACTGAATACACGAACAGTGACTTCCCTTTTGCTCGCAAATACTGATGAATGAAAAGTCTATAAATAGTTTTTGTGTGAAGTTTTGGATTCACTTTCCAAACGTAAACATAGGGTTTGTTTGAGTGAATTGTTATGCAATGCAAACACAGAGACTGTATTTGGGATATAAATAAGGGTTTAATTGAATATTATGTTCACAATTAGTGCTCAAATGTGTGGATAATAATAGTCTGTAATTGATATGCATTTCATTTAAGTGACAATTGTTTGCCATTTCATTACGTATTGCTTATTGTGTTGTGTTTTTTGTTTAAACAAATCAATATTTGTTTTCATTTAATTCAATCTATGGTTTGATTTGTTTGTCAATTATTATCGCAAATAACACTTCAATACATAATAAATAATAATTACGCGAAAATATCGCCATTGAGTCCATAATATAGTTGACAATCAGTGTATGAACTGATCATATGATTTGTGTCACAATTTTTTAGGGTAAAAATGTATTACTTTTAAGAAAACAAATACTCTTTCGTCACAAATATATTGGCGGTGAAGAGGGGGAGAAGAGTTGATCCAATCGGTGACAATGTCTGTATCGGGTGGTGAGTCGGATGAGTCGCTGTACGATCTGTTACGAGAGGTGCAATTGGAGCAGTTCTTTGAGTCCATATGTGGTATAAATGTGACACTCATTGAGCACTTCGACAAAGTAATCATCACTGATCTGACGGACGCGAGGGTCGGGATGGGAGCGCCCGCCGCCCGACGACTCATCGCCGCCGCGAAGACCCGTATTAGGGATCGCAAGAGGAAACACATACTGAATCTGATTCTCCCGAAGAGCAGCCTCTCGTCTAACCATTCAAAGCGTAACAACCAATCGGCGACCGCTCGACGAAACTCATTGACATCGACCGCAACGGCTAATGGGTTGACGTGTTTAATACAAAGCAAAGACATTAAGACATTGAATAAATTAG